CTGAGGCCAGAGGATGGCTGTGAGTTCAGAGCCAGCCTGAGCTGCATAGCAAGACCCTGTCTTAAAGAAGAAGAATTTGTTATAGCCATATTTTCATCTGGCAATTTACCTTTTAAAAATGTCTATCCTAATATAGACAAAGGTACTACATGGTGTCTGAAACTCCAGAATATTCATTTTTGGAGAACATTTCCTGTTTTATCAACATAAGTAATATGAAAAGGTTCCATATTTTTAGCTTCCTCGTAGATTTTTTTTTAGGTATTCTGTTTTCTTTTAAATGAATAAAGCAAAATATCTGGGGGAATCCCCAAGGAGATCCTAACAGGTCTGCATCTAAAACTTTATAATTGTGATTAAGTAGTTCGCAACCAACTTTCTTTTATAACAATATTATTAATTAACCTCTTTTGATCTGTATCCCCAAGAGCTATTCTCATCTAAATTTCTAAGGCAAATAAGCCCATGAAAATATAGAGTGCATCAAATATAGAGATACAAGAAGGGAAGCTTCACTTTACAGAGAAAAGGAAAGAGGTAAAAACTTTTTTTAAATACACAAGTCACCCTTAATGCTATGAAACATTCAGAGCATTCAAGAGCATTTAGTCAAAGCTTCATGGAAAAATATTCTAATAACCATGAAGGCAGAATAAGATACCAAAACTTCACTGAGTTTCCCTCTCTGAACCACAGCTTGGTGAGTACACTGAAGAATTACACCTTAGCCACATCTGGATGAGCTACTTGTATGAGACAATGTATCAAAAAACTCATTCGCTAAATAATTTAAATGAGTGAGAATTAACCAACAAGACAAAAATATAGCATTGCTACATGAGGAAAAATACCTGAGCATTGAGAATCAATAATTGTATAGGAGTTAGTGGGATCAGTGGTTCACTCATTTCATACATGAGAAATATTTCTGAGTTAGAAATAGGAATTGGCAAAAAAAAAGTGCAATACTTGCAATTAATTCATGCAAATATAATAAAGCTTGAGCCTCTAACTACATCTGCAGGTATAAAACATGGGAATAATTTTACCTCATCTTACATAATCAGTGAAATGTAGTTTTTCATATGTATTTTTATTTACTAATATCACTTTTGTTAAATTTTCTTCTCTGTGTACAGTCTGTGATCTGTCAATGTTATTAATGGGATCAGATGCCAATCTGGAGAGACTCGGGTTACATACACATTAAAAATATTCCTTAGTTATGAATTAAACTTTATGTGATTGGTGATATTTATCTAAATAAGAAAACAATTATCTTTAACTATTCATCTCTTTTAAGTCATCTTAATGTTTTCTGAATGGAACTATACTTTTTTTGGAAACAATCTACTAGGTATCCTCACACACTTGATTTGACTTTGAACCTTATGGAAATGAATTTGAATGTTATATTTACTGAATGTTATTTTTACTTCTGAGATGAAGAAGCTATGACCCAGAAATGAACATTTTAATTCAGTATAACAGAACTAGGAGTGGTAAAACTGAGACTGGCATGAATATGATCAAAATACATTATACACATTGACCTCCCCCCAAAAAAGCATGTGAAACAAGGTAAGACTATAGGGCCAGGGGGTGATGTGTATGGGGGGAATGATCAATGATAAATTAAAGTATGATATATGCATGTACAAATCTGCCAAAGTAAAACCCATTAATCTGTATAGCCAATCCACACTAATTAAAAAATGTGGGGGTAAAAACTTGGAACCTAGGGTTTTTTTAACTATCTCACTAACCTAATTGATATTTAAATCTTAAAATGTAAAATATTTATCTGTTGAACAATAAATCAAAATAATAATAAAAGATACACAAAAAAACAAGCAAGATAGTTCACGGGAAAAGTTTACATGTGATTTCATATGCAACTGTATCCAATACCTCCCTCTGGCTCTTGTCCTGAAGACCACAAAGTATGAAGTCCACAGACCAAGTACAGCTTATTAGAAAGAACAAAGAAAAGCTCCTGGTAGCTCAGGAGCTCCAAGGGAGGATGGCATAACCCAAGTTCAGGTGTTTATCTACAAGCTTTAGTGAGCTATTTTGGGGGACATGAAAGTGAAACAATGTGGTTGCAGTTTTTAGCTAGGCCTCTGACTTCAGGAGGAGCAGACTTCCCAGGTACCCCAGCTTCTCAGGGCTTATCTCAGCTTACCCAGGCCCTTTCCCTTTGAAGCAATCCTTTGCCATTTTTAGCTAGGCCTCTGACTTTAGGTGCACAGGCTTCTCCCGCTCCCTGCTCTCTAGCTTCCCCAGAATACAAAGGGCTCTTTCCCCTTGTGTTATAATTTTCCTAGGGCTTATTTCAGTTTACTCAGGTCCCTATCCTAGCTGCCTACTGTTTGTCTATCTCCTGGCCTCACTAGTATATTGGTATGTGTATCCATGATTAGCAGCTTCTATGCAGTAATTTAGAAAATCATTTGGGAGGTTGCTTACTGGAGAATAAAAAAGTTAGAATCTTTGAAGTGGGTTATTAGTTGAAAAGAAAATGATAGCAGGATTCCTGAATCACAAAATTGATCCCACTCCCTAATTTTTCAGGTGAGAGACTTGAAGCCCAGAATATAAAAGGCATTTTTTTAAAGAAAAAAGCATTTTCTGTTTTTTTTAATAAAATGAAGTACTACTCAGCCATAAAGAATGAGAAACTAGAGACATTTATAGCTAAATGGATGCACACTGAGGTCATACTCTTAAGTGAAATAAACAGGACACACGTATAAATACTGAATAGTTTCTCTGATATGAGAAACTGAAAGTGTAAATAAGGATAAAAATGTATAATAGATAATATGAAATAGGAAGAAAAGGTCCAAAGGGGAAGCAGAAATGGGAGGGGTAGGAGAAAGGAAAGAAGGGAAAGGAAAAAATATGAGAAAAAAAAAAAACAGAAAAAAAGTCTTGGTAAATGGGAGGGGTGGAGGGGTTGAAGGGAGAGCAGAGGAATGGGGAAAAAATAAGAACCAAGATATATCATGTAAGGTACAAATTCCCAATGATGAAGGTCATCATATTGTATACCTAAAATGTACCAATAAATAAAATAAAACATACCAATAAACTTAATAATACAAAAAAGAAAAAAACATTTTCATTTTATTCAGACATCAGCTTCCCAGGCCTACTATGTTATGAGCTATGACCTCAGACAAAGAACCCGTGACACAGATCCAAAGTAATTTCTTGTAATTGACTACCTAATAAGGTAAAATTGAAGACCAGGTCTTCCTTGGGTTTTTATATTGAGAAAGAGATAGAGAAGACAAATAATCTATTGGAAAAGATTGCTGGGAATTAACAAAACCAACTGCACAAAGATTTGTTTAGAAGAATATTTATCTGATCATTATGTAACAAACAAGAAATACAAACCATTTAAATTTCCAACACTGTGCAACTAGCTAAATATATCCACCATATCATGTATAAAAATGATTTGTGTAGATTTTCAGTAATGGAAAGATGATATATTGTAAAAGAAAAAAATAGAAAAAATAAATTAAAGAGAGTAAGCCTGTTACAAAATAGTACACTGGTATAACTGATTTAGTTAAATCAAAATGTAATTTGACCTTCAAAACAGCCTGGAAAGATATACTCCAAAATGCTGCCACTATATCTAAGAAGTTTTACTATGGGTTATAATTTTGTTTTTTGCATTTGTATTTTTTTAATTCTTTGCATTAAAAATATCTTTCTAATAATAGGGAAAAATGTAAAAAACAAAACAGGATATCAAACTGTTTTGTCCAGGAGAAGAGTTAGGGGAGGCAAGAGAAGGAAAATGAAATGATCTCAATCAGTAGAAAAGAGGGGAACAGCTGCTAACTTGTTATCAAGGAGGTGCCAAGAGAAGTACAGACAAAGACAACTGTGGAGGTCAAAGGTAAAACCTGGGTATTTTTAATCTGAAAGAAGGAAATCTACAAAAGAATTGCATATCAAATACTAGGACAAAGGAAAAGATGAACTTGAAACTTTTAAGATTTCAGCTGAACGAGTACATCGAGTAAACTTAATTACCTCTGCTTTACGTTTTAGTGCAACATTTGTACCTCTCTGATTTTATCACATTGTATAATGTCCTTTCAAATGATCAGCCAGATATATGAAGTATATATTACATGCTGCATAAAAACTAGGTTTTAGACACAGGGAATACAGACAACATATTCATTTTTCTCTTCTGAGGCATCATTTACGGTGATTAATAAGGATCATGAACCATTATTCATTTCAAACATCTCTGAATTACTAGGGCAAGACTAAAAATTGGGAGGCTGGGTATGCTAGCACAGTCTGTAATCCCAGCACTCTGGGAGACTAAGGCAAGACAATAGAAATTCAAGTGCAGCCTGAGCAATTTAGCCACTTAGCAAGGCCCTGTCTCAAAATTTTTAAAAATTTTAAAAAGGGCTGGAGATGTAGCTCAGTGCAAAGGCCATGAGTTCAATCCCCAGTACTGCAAGTGAGGAAGGTAGGCCTCTGGAGACCATCAGATAAAGGAAAAACCAAATAAATTTTATCTCTTACAACAGTTCACAAATGTAACTGTCAAAGTGAAAAAAAAGTTATACAAAGAAGTAGAAAGTACTTAAAAGGATCCCCTTCTTAGTAACTGTAAACTCTAGAGTAATAGAAAGAAATTTTAGCTCAGGTACAAGTCACATCTGTAGGTGGTAAAATCAAACTGGAAAAGTAGAAAAACAGAAATTCCATTTAATGCAAAGAAATAGAAAGCTTAAGACAGTTTTATTCAGTCTTTTCTCTTCATTATATGGGGAGAGGGGAAGTACACTTAATATTTTGATTCCTGAAAGCACACAATGACTTTCAGATAGAGGACCACATTCCATGATTCATCTGTTAATAGGCTTTCAATATTACAGTGTCAACAGGTGTCTATAAAATGACCTCAACTGATTTCCTTCTCCTGTTTCTTCAGGAGCATTGCCCAGAATGCAACAATGGCCACTGGAAACTGGAGCACAGTGACCGAATTTACCCTGACTGCCTTGCCTGCACTCCTGGAGATTCGAGTGCTCCTTTTTGTTATTCTCTTACTAACTTACACATTAACAGCAACAGGAAATATTGTGATCATTTTCCTAATATGGACTGAGCCTCAGCTGCAAACCCCAATGTGCTTTTTCCTCAGTAAGTTGTCATTTCTGGATATTTTGTACACCACCGTTGTTACCCCAAAGTTGCTAGCCTGCTTGCTGGTAGACCAGAAGACCATATCCTTTGCTGGCTATATCACCCAAACATACTTCTACTTCTTCCTGGGGACCGTGGAGTTTATACTCTTGGCTGTTATGTCCTTTGACCGTTACATGGCCATCTGTAAACCCCTGCACTACCCCATCATCATGAACAGCAGGACCTGCCTCATGTTGCTTCCAGGCTGCTGGTTGGGAGCTTTCCTGTCTGTGATGATACCAATGATTGTGGTAACAAGGCTACCTTACTGTAGGAAAGAGATCAATCATTTCTCCTGTGACATTGCTCCTCTTCTTCAGGTGGCTTGTATAGATACCTGTCTTATTGAGAAAATAAACTTTATCCTGTCTGCCCTTGTCATTCTGAGCTCCCTGACATTCACTGCTGGATCCTACACCTATATAATTTCTACCATCCTATGCATTCCCTCAGTCCAAGGCCATCAAAAAGCTTTTTCTACCTGTGCTTCTCATATCACTTTAGTCTCCATTGCTTATGGGAGCAACATCTTTGTTTATGTGAGAAACAATCTGAGCAACTCACTGGACTTTGACAAGGTAGCTGCTGTCCTCATCACTGTGGTTACCCCTCTTCTGAACCCTTTTATTTATAGCTTGAAGAATGAGAAGGTAAAAGAAGTGTTAAGAGAGACAGTGAATAGAATTATATCCTTGATATTAAGGAAAAGTTGACATAATATTTAGTACAACACATAATAATTCCTACTTTCAACACATTCATTCTGCATGAATACAATCATGTGTTAGTGTGCCAGAAAACAAAAGCTATGCCAGTAGTGTAAGTCATAGCCATGGAAATTGAAAGAAACCCCTGCTCATGTCTGGGCAAAGGGGAACAAATTTGATGGTAGAGACGTAAGCAACAATAAGTCAACCTCTCCAAGATGCATAATCCAGATGGAAAATGACAACTTGTGGAAGAGAGGAAGAAGGGAGATGGATCCCCTGGACCCAAGAAGGATCTGAGGGAAAAATTGGAACCTACAGAGAAAGTGATGAGACAGATTGCAGGGCAGAAAGACAAGGCAAACTGCAATCCCCCCACCCTCACTCCCAGCTCGCAGAGTGAGAAAGGTGTATTGACTCTACAGAGGACAGTGAGGACAGGTGAGTCCACAGGCCTCCAGGGAGAAACATGCCACTGGAGTGGATCAGTGGATGCTGTGTACTGCAAGGGCTGGTGAGTGACTCTAGTCCAGGTCACAGCCATGTTCTCTGGAAAGTACTTGGTCACCTTTTTAGGGAGCAGTCAACTGAACACAGGACTCAGAGCAGCTGTGGGTTGGCCTCATCTCAGGGCTCCCAGGTTTGAAATTCCACAGCAACTGGGTGAGAGACAGTCGTGGGAGATGTCAAAAGTTAGGGAGCCATGGGACACCCAGAGCATTGCTGGCTGAAGACTCAGACCCTAGCTCCATAGCCGGAGGCCAGGAACAGCCTGAACTTCAGTGGAGTTGAAAGCACTAGAATCTCCACTTCTCCCAACCTTACTGCAGACTTGATGGTATTATCCAGCACCCTTCCCTGCTGGGAGCACTATGCTGTTAATCACTATGGCCAAGCCTAACTCACCTCCTCTGGCAGATGAGGCAGGGCCCTGTGTGGAACAAGGAATATGTATCTTGTTCTCTTCCTCCCACAGGTGAGGCAGGGCCCTGTGAGAGGAAAACAGGTGACAAGAGGGTGTGGTGGAGCAAGGCCTGGCCAAGAAGAGGACGTGCCTTCCTCCCCGCCCATTTACCATAAAACCATCAAGCATGATGTCCTTCAGACCCTAGCCGCTCTCCCTGTTCCAGTCATGGACACCCCCTTTTACTTCCCCCCCTCAGTTCCCTTATCGCTACACTATAAACAAATGCACTACAGTTGCCTGGCAGTTTTTTTTCTCCCATTGGAGGAAAGGTCCACCTGGCCTCAGCTTTTGTATCTCTTTGTTCTGTCCTTTTGCTTCATGCCCCACAGTTTTCCCTCCATGGATTCTTCAGCCATGCAAACAGCACTTCCCTAATCCTACTGCAGACTTACCAGGGTTACCCAGCACAGATCTGGGCTCTAACTAGTTCACTACTACAAAACTGTAGCCACCAGAAGATAACCACAGGCTTGAAGTCATAGAGAAATTTCTGGGTTTTTTCCTCCCTTTGGTTTTTTGGGCTATTTTGGGGGGAGTGGTGTTGTTCATATGGTTTTTGGTTTTTGATTTTTCTTGTTTGTTTTTGTTTTTTCTTGTTCTGTTTTTGTTTTTTCATGACTGTAAACATTGTTTTTAGTTTTTTTGTTTTTCTTGTTCTTGTTTTTTTTTCCTTGCTTCTATCTCTTCTGTCTTCTTAATCAGATTCTCAAAACTTGAGTAATCTTCTTTGGCCTTCAGCCTTGCTTCTAATGTTTTTCTCTTCTCTTATTTCTCTATTTTCTCCTCTGATCCCTTATAAATTCTCTCCACTGAGAGTAAAATTTCTGAGGGGATATTTACTATATATACTTTTCAGATTGATTTGCATTTTTGTTATATAATTATAAAGTTTGTACTTAAAGAGAGCAAATTAATAATTATCACAGTTTGTTCTTTGTGGGGCTGTTCTTGATGCTGTTGTTATTACTGATCATACTATTGTAGCCAAGATAACACAGTTGTGATCAGTTGTTCTTCCTTGTATGCCAGCACCAAGATTGTCTGGGGGTCATAAACAATACAGTAGTCCAATACCAAAGAAATGGGCACTAGGTCAAACAGATACCTTTAAGGCCTAACAAATCAAAGAGGCAGGATCTTGGGACAGATTCATAAGCCAAAAGCAAGCTGCTCATAGAAGACATCTCTAAAAAGCAATCATTGAGGACTTGGTACTAGTGACAAAGCTACCTATCATAAGCAATCCACAAACATCAATGCAGAAAATAAATTTTTAAAATACAAAATGAGAAAATACAGAAGAAAAATCCAACCATGGAACTCCAGCTTGCCCAAGGTAAATCCAGGGAGCATTGAGGTGGATGTAATCAAAAGCTACCCAGCTGGACTTTCTGAAATAGTAGCAGCAGGAGTAGCAAAGCAGATGAATGAGGCTCTAGAAAAAGAAATCAGAAATAACTGTACATGCCAGCTGAGTATGGACTGAAACCTCTACAAACTAGTTCCATCACTCCCAGCCCAGAGGAAGGGGCTTCTGAGCCACTGTTCCACCACTCCCAGCACAGAGGAAGGGGCCTCTCAGCTTCAGTTCCACTTCTCCCAGCCCAAAGGAAGGGGATTTGGGGCTGCCATTACACCACTCCCAGCCCAGAGGAATGGACTTCCGGGTCACTGTTCCACTGCTCCCAGTGCAGAGGAAGGGGCTTCGGGGCTGCTGTACCACCACTCCCAGCACAGAGGTAGTGGCCTCTGGGCTACCATACCACCACTCCCAGCACAGAGGTAGGGCCTTCCAGGCTGCTGTACCACCACTCCCAGTGCAGAGGTAGGGGCCTCCAGGACGCCATACCACAGCTCCCAGCACAGAAGAAGGGGCTTCAAGGCCAATGTCCCATTGCTCCCAGCACAGAGGAAGGGGCCTCCCAGCCACTAATTCACTTCTCCCAGCCCAGAGGAAGGGGCTTCTGGGCTTTCATTCCACTGTTTTCACCACAGAGAAAGGGGCTTCAGGGATGCCATACCACTGCTCCAAGTGCAGAGGAAGGGGCTTCTGGGCCACCATTCCACCACTCCCAGTGCAAAGGAGGTGAGCTATGCAGGCACCAACAGCACCACTCCCCCTGTTGAAATGAGAAGACATGTAAATAAGTTTCAAAACTAGACTCCCAGATCACCTACAGAAACCGCAAAGGGAAATGAGATTGAACACTCTGATACTCAACAAACTCAACTCCCTGAGCTAGGAACAAAAGAGGATCGGGAAAAAAATGAAATCAGGAATAATTTCTCAGATGACAGCAGAGATTGTGCTCATAGTGCAAG